GCAGGAGGTGACAGCTATTCCCTCTGCATGCTTGGGCTTCTCTCTTTCTGGCTGCAGCCACCAGAACTTGCTTCTAAAGGCAGCTCTAAGCTTTTCTCTGCTGGGCAACCGCACACGTAGGATGTGATGGCGTGTGTCTGGGGGTTTCCTTCCGGTGGCTGTGAAGTGAGGTTGTCTCGGTTCATTTCCTCTCTGGGCCTCTTCTTCTTTTCCTCCCTCAGAACTTCGGATAGGCTGAGGACACCTTATAGTGTGGGGACAGGTAAGACATCTAGTTCTTAGGGGGGGCCATTTGCTTTTTTAGATCTTTAAATTAGCACGACCATGAAGTTCTGTGGGACTGTCTTTTTCTCAGTGGCATAACTCCTTTCTAGGCTGCATTGAAGCAAAGTATAGGCGATTTAAAAGCCAACTGAATTGGGATTTTGTGTTTTCAGGGACCAAATTTGTTCTAGAAGATTCCACTGTGAACTGACATGAAACGCTCTTTCATAGGACAATCACCTATTGAGTTTATCTACTAGACTAGGCACCATGCTAGGAGCTCAGTACTCAAATGGGGAATTTCCCTGGGAGTATAGCTCAGTGGTGAAGTGCTCGCCTAGCACGAGCTAGGTCCTGGGGTGAAACCCTGGGGCTAGGAAAAATGAAAACCAAGCCATATGGAGAATCTCCTAGTTACAAGGTAGTATAAAATAAACTTCAATTTGTGTATATGGGGGGAAATTTTAAAGCCACCCAGCACCCACCCTTTGTCCTCTTCTGTGCTTTTGAGTGGCGGACAATGCCACTCTTGGAACATTTTCATCTTTCCGTGGCTCGGCTTCCTCATCTGTGAAATGGGAACAATCAGGAATTTGTAAACTAAATGAATTAATGCTTGGCACAAATAAAAAAAAATACTAGATAAGTGTCTGCCATCATCATTAATGGCAATTTTGTATCATTATGAGTGGAGGCCTTTGTTTTTTCTCTTCCCTTCCTCATTTCTCACTCCTTGCTGGTGCCTAGAAAGTGACTTGGGGACATAGCAGGTTGAGAGCAAAAAGAGAGAAGGTTTGACAACAAATGCTCCCAAAATAACTCAGTGGTGCCGAGTGCTTCTGGTTAAGCTTCTGCTTGTTCTACCATCAAGTCCAGGAACGGGGAGCCTTTGTCCTGCCTCCCTGGGTCCTGTCCCATCACACACAGCTCATGGAGGATGCTGAACTTTTGTGATTTTTTTTTTTTTTTGGTGTTACTAAGGATCAAATCCAGGGCCTTACACATGTTAAGCAGGCACTTTATCATGGAGCTACATCCCAAACCCCTATTTTGTTATTTTAATTTCCTGTAAGACTTGGCTAAAATTCAGATTTATATCATGGATCTTAAATGTTTGAGCTAGCATAAATCTTGCTAAAGAATATTACACCCATAAAAGATACCTCTTTCCACAAATAAAGAAATAATACTTGGCTCAAGACCTGTACAGTTGGGACTTATCAGTATATCAAGAACAAGAACATGGGTACCAATCATCAAACATGTCCTTCCCTCCTGTGTGAAACGTACAATGTGCATCAAGGTACTGTGTCCTACTCTTTCTCTCTTCCTCTTCTTCTCACAAAACCACTTTGGAATACATGCCATATGTCAGGAGCTCTACCAGATTCCAGGTAGAATTATTCTGTTCCCCAATTTTTATTTTACAGTGCAGAGTTATCTTGATAAATTGATGAAGGTAGAAGAACAACCTATTTTTATATCAACATATTCTTCTGTGTATTTCCTGTTATCCCTTTTTCATATACCATTATTTTCTTCATCAGGCATTTATACTTGGTATATGATTTGAATGTATACATTTTAGGAAATATAGTCTATGATTTCGTGATACAACATGGGTATTAGTACACCAGATTGTCTCTGTAATCAAGGACACTAGGTGGGCCTGAGGAGCAGCTCAGTTTCCTTTTGTATAAAGCACTTGCATCTTACAACTTGATTCTCCTTAACTCTGTCCTTCCTTCTTAGGGGCTTCTTTTCCCACTTTGAGCTGCCTGAGTCTCTCATTGTTGAGTTTTTCAGAATGAAGAGAGAACAGGTCTTTTAAGTCAAGCTGAGGAACTAAGGCTTTGACCAAAATCAGATCAGTTATTTTAGACAGACAAGTGAAATATTTTTCCAAGTTGGAAAGATACAAAGTTTCTATGTCTGGTTTCTTATTTATAATGTTAGATATTTCTTCTTCTTTGATTCCCTCCCTCCCTCCCTTCCTCCCTCCCTTCCTCCCTTCCTTCCTTCCTCCCTTCCTCCTTCCTTTCTCTTTTGATTGGCGACAGGTTATGCTGCATGTCAAAACTTTGACAAACCCCAGATGGTTCTGACAAAAACAAGCAGCTGTAATTGCTAATCACTGTATCCAGGGAAGACAGTGTTTCCATTCCCAGTTTCATTTCAACAGTCTTCTTGATGGCTTTAATCAGCTTCTTCATGCCATTGTAGTTAGCTGGAATCTCAACTCGCACCACAAAATGGTTTATAACTACCTGTTAAGCGGTAGCCAAACCCCCAGCAACTGCTTTGAATTTGTCACGGATGTTTGGTCTAGAAAGTGACTGTTGCATGAGGCAGAGGATGAGGGACAGGAGAAGGAGAAATGGGGAAGCTTAAGATTAAAAGTTTGCAGAGTCTACTACGCCAAGGTGTTTGTGTGTTTATGATTCCATCTGTTTGACTCATTTCCTTCCATGACTGAAGCCAGCCTTAGCCATGGAGAATTCTTAGCTGCCCACTAAGGAATTTAAATGAGTATGCTCAAGAGTTGATTTGGCAAGTTTTAAGAGAAAAATCCCCCAGCATTTTAAAGCATGCCTCACCCCTGCTAGGGAATAGAGTCGGTTTTGTGATTCTCATTTTTAGATGAGGAAATCAGAACTCAAAAAAAAAAAAAAAAAAAAATCTCATTCGATAACTATGTGATAACTATGTGACCCTGCAAACTCCCTTGAGCTTTCTGGGCCTTTCTGATACATCATTTGATAAGACACAGACCCACCCTCAGGAAACTTGTTTCATGGGGAGATAACCTAATGAGAAAACAGTTCCCATGAAAGGGTTCACTCCCAATTTTAAAAGCACTTGTTTAACAGGTGCTGTGATAAATGAAAAAAAACAAGCAGCAGAGGAGTTGGGAGACGGGATGCGGGAATGAGAATCAACTCCTTTCCTAAGAAAGGTTACAGTGCAGGACTGTCAGGGTATGGAGGCGTCACCTAGAATTCATGTAATAGAAACTTAATCCCTAAATTCATGTTAATGATATTTGGTGGGTAATTAGGATTAGATGAAGGCATGAGGGTAGGTCCCATGATGGTATTAGTGGCTTTACATGGAGAAGAAGAGAGACCCAGACTAACACCTTACCCTGCCTTACCCTGCGATTTCCTCTGCCATGTTATGATGCAGCAAGAAAGCCTTCATAGAGGCTGGACTTCCCAGCCTCCAGAACTGTAAGCCTAATGAACTTCTCTTTTTCATAAATTACCTGGTGTCAGGTGTGTGTGTGCGCGCACACGCGCATGCATTTTTTTTTTTTCAAAGCAATTGAAAATGGACTGCAACTAATAGGCATGGAAGAATGGATCTCATCCACATTCCTCTTCTGTTCTCTTACCACCTACAATCCTCCTTTCCCCTCTTTTGGAACACAGCATCTTGGTCATGTGCCACTTCTAGTCTCCCATCCATCCGCAGGATCCTGGAGTCTCTAGGCCTCCCATTGCCCCGACCCATGACCAGCTATTTCAGCAGCACATGTAATGTTGACTTCCTTGTCCTGGTTCTTCAGGGTAATGACCTTGCCGATGTGCAGCCTTGTGTAGAGGATCAGTCCACTTCTTTTTATTCTTCAGAGCTACTTAGTCTCACAGGGGAAGTTAATTAAGGTCAATTTGTTTCCTTGCAAACTGTGCCCCAATGATCTCAACTGAGGCCCTTTCGCTGTTCAAGAATATTCTTAATCATCTCTCAGCGAACACCTGTCAGGATTCCTGAGCATCCTTTCCAAACTTTTCTCTCTCCAGCAGTTCTGGCTCAGCCCTTGCCTCTTGATCTTAGGCTTGGAAAAGCACTGCGGACACAAGCTCTCCGAGGATCCCCTGTGGGCCTCGTAGGATTTCACTCCTCCTTGCACCCTATTCCCATCTCTGCTCATTCTTCAGTCCCTTGAATTACAGCTTCAACCAATGATAGCTACCATTTTTTAAAAATGTGTGTCATTAGGAAGTAAATGACCTTTGGAAAGATGGCACTTTCCATTCTTCTAACTTAAGGAACAGCTCTTTGAAAAAACATGAGCACTGAGAAGAGAAAAAGGAAGAAGCCTGCATTTTAAGAGAGAACTAACTGATGGCAAATTTAAGATCCTGAGGACTGGGAGAATTCTTTACACGCCAGCATCTAGAGAGCCCGGCTTTCTCCATAACTTATATTCTATTCACCTCTCCCGCTTTTTGCTTTTTAAGAACATCAACATTTATTGATCACAATAAAAAAGGTGAGATATGAACATTTGTGCTTAAACAATAACAAGTAGTCTTTAATACATTACAATTGAATGTATTAATTGAATTAATGCTCATTGAATAGCCCGTACACAATGAACATAGTCACAGTTGCACTCAAATTAAATACTGGATTAAAAACCTGCTTATCGATGTACACATCCATTCCAATGAAGTGTAAGCCTATTACTTCAAAATACCTACACTTTTTCTTTTTTTTTTTTTAAAGAAAATTACCCACTTTTTTTACTGGATGATAATTATCTTTGATTTGCAAATATATATATACATATATAAATAAAATTTGGAAAATCTTGTTAGTATTAATTTTTGTATAATTCTAAAAATCTAAAATAAAAACTATATCTTATCAAAAATTGACATTGGAGGTAAAACTTAAATGCCTACCAACCATCACCCCTGATTTCAGTTTCCTCCCTGTTTTTCCCATAGTGAACCCCTGCTTTGGAACGTATTCTTTGAAGACATCTCTCGGCATTGATATAAACGTACAGAACGGCAGGCAAGTTGCAGTCCTGCGCATGCGCAGTATTGCCCTCCTCGATGGTGCCTGGGCACACAGCAATGGCCTGCAACCGTGATGCTCGATTTCTGCGGGGGCTGTATAAACCGCCGTTCTGCTTTCACATGAAACAGTAACTTGAAAACAACATCTGATTCTTGAGAACATAAAAACAAAACTGCATGGCTACTTTCAGTGGTGCAAAAGGTTGGACTCCTCCTCCAAGTACCTGACTTTGCTCATTTGTTTTCTAAATACTCAGAAATGTCGCTTTACGTCCCACTGGTTTACCTCTAAGTAGAGACACCCAGATCAAACACCCAAGGTCCACCAGCATTTGAAAAAGTGTTTGTCTGGAACTTCCTTTTTTTTTTTTTTTTTTGCCTTTATGACCTAAAAACTCATCCCGGCCGCTCCTTGGATACATTCATAGGCTGGTCTTGACCCTCACAGAGAGGGACCACCAGGGGATGGGATCATATGTGTCCACTGGTTCTCCACACTGGCTATCAGTTACCTCTCCTTTCCTTAGACATTTGCCTCCTTCTGACTCCTACCACATTCAGGGGTTATTACTTACTAAATTGATTTTTTTTTTTACTGATCCCCAGTAGTTAAAGCCCTAGCAATGTCTGTTCATTCCCTTCCGTTTTTATATAATGATTCCACTGTAGATAGTAGCAATTTAAAACAGAAATAAAACTCACTCCCCTGTTTTCACTGTAAGGTTTGCTGTCATATAATAGAAGCCTGGTGTCCACATTTTCATGGAGGCCCTAACTCATTCCTTGGTTCCATTCACCTCTCTTATTTAACTTTCTTTTCTTCCTTTCATATCCAACTGACCTAAGAGAGTAGTGAACACCCAGTACCTCTGCTCCTGCACCTTCCAATACCCCTTTCCTCGCTGCATTCCTTCTGCCCTGGTATCTGGCTCCTATCCACAGCTCTCCACTGTCGTTGTCCTTGGTAATGTCATTCTTCATAATGTAGATGATGAGCCTGGGGATGTGGTGGTGCACATCTGTAATCCCAGCTGCTTAGGAGGCTGAGGTGGGAGGATGGAAAGTTGGAGGCCAGCCTGGGCAACTTAGTGAGATCTTGCTTCAAAATAAAGAATAAAAAGGACTGGGTATGGAGCTCAGTGGTAGAGCCCTGGGTTCCACCCTGGGTACCACCATCAATCAATACAAGTTGATCACTTCTCTCGTACCCCTCCTTTCTTTCTTGAAGGACACCATTCAGCCTTGATCCACCTCCCCCTTGTTCAATGCACCTCCTCCAATATTGCTACACAAGTCTCACTGTTAGACTTCACATATTTTTACTCTGCTGCTGTCTCCAGGTGAGCTCATCCTATTTAGATCAGGGGCATCCCTTCTCTTTGTGCACTCCCCATTTATGTCAGTACCGTGTACTTAGTCTCATTGCACCCATATATTGAAACACTTCTCCTGTTTATCAGGGGAGTGGAATATTCCTAGGTCTCTCTCTCTCTCTCTCTCTCTCTCTTTCTCTCTCTCTCTCTCCCCCCCCCACCACTGGAGTGCTTGAGTAGAACCCAGAGGCTCACACATGCTAGGCAAGCACCCTACCACTGACCTACCCTCCCAGCCCTAGATAATGTTACATAACACATCCACAGTGTCCAACAGGCATTTGATGAATAGCAACATTAGGAAAATTGCTAAAATCTCTACTCCCAAAGTCTGCTCTATTTCCTTGTTTCCTTCATTCATTCCTCTGGGGTGCAGTTTAGCTGGGGACAGGCCCAGGTATTTGGCTTAGCATAGATCAAAGTGACCTAATGGGAAATAGCTTAGCATAATTCTCTAACCAAGTCATAAAAGTACCTATTGTCCTGTCCAAACACCAAATTACATGTGAGGTCATTCAGAGTCCGGAAGATGGTTGCTGTGATAAGGACTGAGACATTCTTGATCAAGTGGGAACTGGTATTTGTGAGCATATTCTGCATTAATAACTCACCAAAGCCAAGTTCTTAAGTTGAAGTGGCTAACAAGTGTCTTCTAATGAGCTGAACTCTTCCACTTACAGTGTGGCCACCCTCCTATCAGTTGACAACCATCTCCTGTTGACCTTGGGTGGACTGCAAATGGGCCTTGAAAGATTTTAGCCATTAAGTGAGGCTGATAAAACCTCGTGAAGATTGGCAAGCTTTATGTTGGCCCCAAGGTCTCTTAAAGGTCCTTTTTAATATCTTTAAATTTTGAGCTTTATCAACATGATCTTGAGATCTGTCTAAGGCATCATGCCAAACCTAATGAAGACTTTACTAGGTATGATCAACTGAAAGCCCTCAGGACCCCACACAAGGTATATTAAAAACACACACACACACAAACAACCAATAAATGTGCCAAGGACCTGAACAGACACTTCTCAGAAGATGATTTACAATCAATCAACAAATATATGAAAAAATGTTCATCATTGCTACCAATTAGATGCCGTAGTCCGGCTGCAGCAAAATAACCGGGGGGTGACGAACAACTTGTGTAGATTGATACAGCAGGAGTGGAAGCCGTTTACTGCAGGACAGGAGCGGTATTTATACATTCCACTCAGCTTATCTAATTAGCATAAACTAGATACATCAGTCAACCAATAAGAAATCTCCACACTTAATGGCTCGCTGGCGTAACTTCACAAACCACTCCCTCTGGCAAAATGCCAGGTGCCATCCAGACTGTTTACAGACTCTAACATTTGCCAGGTGCCATCCTGACTTGTTTACAGACTCTAACAATTAGAGGAATGCAAATCAAAACTACTCTAAGATATCATCTCAGTCCAGTCAGAATGACAGCTATTATGAAGACAAACAACAATAAGTGTTGGTGAGGATGTGGGGGAAAAGGCACACTTACATCTGCTGGTGGGACTGCAAATCGGTGCAGCCAATATGGAAAGCAGTATGGAGATTTCTTGGAAAATTGGGAATGGAACCACCATTTGACCCAGCTATCCCTCTCCTAGGTCTATATCTAAAGGACTTAAAAACAGCATACTGCAGGGACACAGCCACATCAATGTTTATAGCAGCACAATTCAAAATAGCTAACTGTGGAACCAACCTAGATGCCCTTCAATAGATGAATGGATAAAAAAATGTGACATATATACGCAGTGGAATATTACTCAGCAATAAAAGAGAATAAAATCATGGCATTTGGAGGTAAATGGATGGAGTTAGAGAAGATAATGCTAAGTGAAGTTGGCCAATCCCAAATAACCAAATGTTGATTTTTTTCCTCTGATATAAGGAGACTGATTCATAGTGGGGTAGGGAGGGGGAGCATGGAGGGAATAGAAGAACTCTAGATAAGGCAGAGAGGTGGAAGGGGAAGGGAGGGGGCATGGGGTTAGAAATAAGGGTGGAATGGGATGGACATTACTACTCAAAGTACATGTATGAAGACACGAATTGGTGTGAATATACTTTGTATAAAACCAGAGATATGAAAAATTGTGCTCTATATGTGTAATAAGATTTGTAATGCATTCCACTGTCATATATAAGTTTAAAAAATTAATTAAAAAATAAAATAAAATAATAGAAAAAATAAAATAAAAATAGGATTTATTTTACCAAAGAAGGAAATTTTAAAAGTACAATTGAATCCACTGTACACCCTAAAGTGGATTCAACAATCCACTTTGGGGTGTACAGTGTAAGGACATAAAATCAGTATCTTGCCTTCCATGTTCATGGCAGCGTTATTTACAATTTCCAAAATATGGACTCTCCCTAAATATCCATCAGTGGATGAACAGATAAAACAGTTTAGTTACACAATGGATATTATTAGACTGAAAGGAAAAGGAGATTCTTCCACTTGGGACAACATGGATGAACATGGAGGACATTATGCTAAGTAAAATGAGATGCGTTTTCAAATATAGAATCTACAACAATGGAATTTACAGACACAAAGAGAAAAAGGGTGATTATTGGGGCTGGAGGGTGGGGAGATGGGGAGATACTGGTCAAAGAGCAAAAAGTTGCAATTAGGGAGAATAGATGATAAGTATTTAAGGTGAGGGATGTTTCTATTAGCTTGACTTGTCCATTGCACACTTTATATAATATCAAAACATCACTGTGGCTGGGTGCAGTAGCTCATACCACTAATTCCAGCAGCTCAGGAAGCTGAGGCAGGAAGATCACCAATTCAAAGCCAGCCTCAGTAACTTAGCAAGGCCCTAAGCAACTCTCTCTAAATAAATACAAAATAGGGCTGGGATGTGGCTCAGTGGTCTAATGCCCCTAGATTCAATCCCCAGTACAAAACAAAAACAAAAATAAATCATTATTTCAATCCCATAATTATATATGTCTATAATTCATCAGGAAGTAAGAGAAAAAATGTGCATATAACAGAGGTAGACACTGATAGCATATATAGGTGAATGCAAAAGTATGTACCTAAGAGGCACAAAAGAAAGGGCAGAAGGGGTGGCTTGAAATTGCTCTTTGTGGTTTCTTTGTAGAGTAGTTGAGACCCCTGAGTGTACCTTCCAAGAGGCAAGACACACCAGCAACTAAGCCCCACCTCCCTGATGGTTCATTCGATGCCTTTGTGGGGCAGAGCATTAGAAGTCATCTCTTCTGTCTTGGTATAAATTATTCCGTTTCTAATACTTCCACATTTCATTACCCAAACAATGCATGCTCATTGCTAAACTAGAAAAAAATAGTAATAAAAAAGATATAACCAATGGTACATTGGAATATGTATTCTTGTAGATAACTTTCCTCTGTATATGAACTGTGACCTAGTGTAGTGCTTCAGTTTTCTATTTCTGCTATGTCAAATTAGTACAAAAATAACAGTTTAAAACAACACAAACCAGGCATGGTGTCACACGCCTATAATCTCAATGGCTTGAGAGGCTGAGGCAGGGGGATCATGAGTTCAGAGCCAGCCTCAGCAGAAATGAGGCATTAAGGAATTCAGTGAGACCCTGTCTCTAAATAAAATACAAAATACGGTTGGGGATGTGGCTCAGCGGTTGAGTGCCCCCGAGTTCAATCCCCAGTACCGCCACCCCCCCTTGAAAAAAAACCCCACAAATGTATTCTGACAGTTCTATAGGCCAGAAGTCTAATATTGTGTAACTGAGCTTAATGATGAGGTTGGCAGGGCTGTGCCTCTTCTCTGGGTTGGGGAGAATTGCCTCCTTGTCTCCTGTCACTGGAGGCTACTCACATTCCCTGGTCTGCAGTCCTCTTCTCTCATCTTCGAAGCCAGCGACTCTGCCTCTATTCATGTTTTCCCAGCCACATCTCCCATTCATCATAACTGGGAATGTCTGGCACCCCCTCCTCCACAGAAAATCTTAACTGGGCTTCTCCAGAAACCTTTGTCATGGCTGATTTTAGGACTGTTGGCAAAAGAGTCTCTACAAAAGAGGTCAATGTCGGTAAACTTCCTATTTTTGTGTCGCCCTGTTTTACTTGGCCACTGGCCGGGAAGATACCAGCACTCCAGGTGCTGGACACCCCCTTACTAGTTTTTTCACAAACGTATCCAGTATAGTAGTTTGTAGAAATGTGCAAACAAGGCCTCTGGCCTTGAGCTGGGCTTCACAGAGATGTCTACATTTCTAAGATAAGTGACCAATTGGTAACAGCTGGCAGGGGAGGAAAGAAAGGGGAGAAGAAGCTCTCCCCTTCTCGGGGGTTGTCCTTGAAGAGTTAACTTGCCCAGAACATTGAAAGAAAAAGCTGCTTTTATGTGAACTTCTGCAGACTGTGGACTTCTGAGCCCCTCCCCTTCCATGCTGGTATAAAGTTCTGAAATTACCTGAACTCGGGGTTCAGGGGATTGATTGATTACAGCAAAAGCTGTGCCCTCTGAACCTGGCTGCAGCCAAATAAAACTGTTTCCCACTATCTTTGGTGCCCTGCCTTGTCTGTCTCTACAATAGGAAAAATTCTCACTTGTTTTAAGGACTCATTTGACTAGACTTGACTTCACATCTACAAAGTCCCTTTTGTCATGTAAGGCACGTGCTCCTGGGAATCAGGATATGGACATGTTGGGGTCATTATCTCCTCTGGAAACCAAATAGCTAATGTCCACAGAGGTTAAGTCATTCACCCAAGGTCACAAAGCTGGTAAATCTTGGATCGATTTGCAAGTACTTTCAGATTATAAGCTCTGGTGTGATGAGATTTGTGACTAGTGAAAATGTCTGATAAAAAGGAAGTAAAGAAGAATTGCAAAGAGTTTGAAGGGACTTAGAACTGAGCATCTGAGAAGCAGGGACTTCATTCTTGGTCTAGGTGTACCATGAGCCTGTGTGTCTCTCAACTGCAGGCATCTGTGACAGCAGACGAGATCACCGACTGCTCCTTCGGCTACTCTTGACACTTGTCATATCCTTACCCGATTTTTCCAGTGCCTGTCTTACTACTTGGCATGACTCATGGCTTCCACCACCTCTCCAGTGTTTCTCTCTGTAGGTCACCTTCAACCTCCCTCAATGAAAAGATCCTTGGTGTAGTCTGCAGGTGGCCACAGAGCACTGGACATCCCTGTCAGGTAGAAAAAACCCATCAGGGTTATCTCACTCGTCAGACAACTCACAGATGGCTATCTTCAAAAGACAATGGCCATTTTTTAGTTCCATCAGCCAGAATCAGGGGATCAAAAATAACCCTCTGCATGTAAGAATCTGAGAAGTAGCTAGATTTATGTCAGTTGAAACAGACTTTGAATTAAAAACCTTAAAAAGAGACACATTATAAAAAAGGGGTCGACTCAAAAAGAGGATGTAATGATCACAAATATACATGCACCCAAGATCAGGGCACCTAAACATATACGGTGGCAAATATTAGCAGGTCTAAAGGAAGAGACTGACCACAACAGAACAGCAGGATACTTGGGCATCCCTCTTAGAGCAATGGACAGGTCACCCAGAAGGTCAACAAGTATCCTATTGAAATGGCACTCCAGGACAAGTGGATGAATTGTGAAAATCTGTGTGTGAGAAGTCCGCTTCTCCTGGAATAGGGCTGGGAGCAAGGAATTTCTTCCCAACATATCCCTGCATATGCCTAAGAGGTACCTTAGCTGGGTACCACCACTAGAATGATTAGCAGAATGAGGGAGGGGCAGAAGGAGGGAGGAGATGGCCCCAGAGCTAATACTGAGTATGGACATTCTGAAAACAGTCAGGCAATTGCCTTCAGTACTTCAAGGCTATTTACTGATCTTTAACGAAGAGGCCACACAGGCTTAGGAAAGTTCTAAAATTATATCATTTTTATCAGCAACCAGGTCCTCAAGTTGCTCCCACAAACCACAGAGAATTTCGCAATATGCCTTTGGCAAGAGCTCTGATGCTCCCAACTGGTGCCCTCACTGGTTTCTCCAAATGCATTCGCTCTGAATGGGGGGTTGGCATGGGGGGAAGTGGTCTCATTAACTGAGTAAGAGTGAATGTCAACAAGTTTCAGAAGAAAACTCCCTTGGGGACCCTGAGCAGTGCCCCCACCATCCCCACCTTCCTCTTGGACGAACACTTCTGTAAACATTTTATCTGGTATTTCCCACAAAAATGTGTGCTGTGGTCACAGCTCGGAGATGCCAACCCAAATCTCAAACAGCTACCTCCTGATTGAGAATACATTCTGGGCTGTTTATAGTTTGTTTGGTAACCAGGGACAAAAGCTGATTTCAATTTTAATTAATTTTATATGGTGGGGGGGGTAGATATCTGAGAGAGTCATAGTACATAGTGTCCCTGGTGGCACAATGTCACAGTATTGAGAAGTACTGGACATATGTTCAGAGATTTTTCCACTGTGGTATGTGGTACTTTTTCTCCTCCTGTTGTGCTTTTGATTTATTTTTTAGTTAGTTAATTTTGTGGTGCTGGGTTCTCGTGCCTGCTAGGCAAGTGCTGTACCACAGAGAACTTACTACCCCCAAACCCCTGTTATGCTTTTATAGAAAATTCCAATGGTGAGCATAGCAGCTGTGAATCCCCAAGCACCCATGATCTGCCAACCTCAACCTCCTAGAGAGCTGGGATTGCAGATAGATGAGGCAAGAAGCTGGAAAGAAGTTGGTGGTGAGCTGCTGTGTCTGTGGCAGCACCAGAGGCCCCCCGCCATTTAGACCTGCAACAGGCCACTTGATAGTAGTGAAGAAGAATCCGGCTTTGCTGGCTGTGACCCTCAAAGGCATCCCCTGCTGTGATTAGCTGCTAACACTGATATGGGCTTCCTGGGTTACAGAGGCCAAGGAGCCCAGGAGCATGCA